CTCCCCCAAAAAGTTCAGTAGTATGCTAGAAATCTGAATGACGCCATCAAGCGACCTGACCTAACAGTGTCAGGTCCGCTGCACCCGACAACTGTCGACTTCTTACTCATCTGGACTGTGTATGGTATATTCACCAAGTTATAGCACACATTGTGGCATAAAGTAACTCTAAGAACACGTTCTCTGGGCTTTACAGAGTTGAATTAGAAGTCACTAGCAATACGATAAGTAGAAAATCCTTAAATATTTGGAAAGTAGTAGCATACCTTCCAAATAACCCAGTTCCAAGAAGAAAGTCACTAGAGAAAATATTTTGAGCTAGGAGGTCGTAAGAACACACTCTACTAATACCTGCGGGAGGCAGCTGAAGCAGGGCTTACAGGAAAATTCATAGTTTCAAGTGTTACAAACTAAAAATGGGCTAGATATCAATGATGCAAGCTTCCCATTTAAGAAATCAAAAAACAGGAGGATATTAAACTCAGGATGATTAGAATAAAAAATAATATGAAGCAAAACTTCTCCAATTTATGTACTTAAGCAATACAAAAATTCAGCAATAACTAAAAATGATAAATCATTACAATCAGGTGGGGTTTACCTGAAGGATGCAAGGTTGGTTCAACATCTGAAAAACTGTTCCTATAACGAATCACGTTAAGAGAATAATATAGCAGGGGCGCCTGGGTGGCTTGGTTAAGTGTCTGACTTTAGCTCAGGTCACGATCATGCGGTTCGTGGGTTCAAGCCCTGAGTCTGTGCTGACAGCTCAGAGCCAGGAGTCTGCTTCAGATTCTGTGTCTCCCTCTCTCTCTGTTCCTCCCCCACTCATGCTCTGTCTCTCTTTCTCAAAAATAAATAAACATTAAGGAAAAAAAACAACAAAAAAACATCAATTCCAAAATCATAAACCTTAAAGTGAAAGAGAAAACCAGAAAAATTCTTGGAGAAAACGCAAGTTACTCACCTCTGCTGCCTGGCTTGGGCAAAACAATTTACGAAAGGGCATTAAAAGGACAAACCGTAAAAGACAAGACTGGTAACAGAACATGAAAAGTAAGACACTTTGTTAACGAAACGAAAAGCTAAGTCATCAGCTGGAATGCTGTTACCGTGTCAACGTGTAGACCTTGCATCCAGAATGTGTAACCTTCAGAGCTGGGCGACAGGGGCACAGGATGCGGGCGCTGGCTTCACAGATGAGAAACGGGCACCAGGAGGGTGCGACCCCGTCAGGCATCCGGGAGTGTGTTTATCAATCAGCACAGGGAATGCCGTCCGCGGCCACTCAAGGACCAGTGCCGCAGAGAGGGCGGCCCGGGGACCGTGGTGCGGTCGTGCTGGGCACCAGTAAGCCCGGCGCTCGCCACGGGACTGGGCGGTGGCAGGCCGAGGTCGTCACCCGAGAAGTGAAACCACGTGTCTGCGTGCAGGAGCACACAGACGCTCGTGACGGCCCAGAGCTGGAAACAAACCAACCCACGTCCCTCAAAGAGAGTAGACAAAGCTGTGATGGACGTGCCCTGGGCATCAAAACACCCAAGCTTCCGCTAAGAGCAATAGCAGGAACGAATCTCAAAAGTGTTTCCCTGAACGAAAGGAGTAAATACTGGATGGTTCCATTCATAAGGGGTCCCAGAAGTCGCACACCTAGTCTGTGGCAACAGAAATCTGGCCCTAGTTGGGGGGCAGGGGCTGGGGGCCGGGCTATTATGGTCTTGACGTACGGGCATGGACACCTCAAGTGTATGTGCTAATTCTACGTAACTTTACTTCAAAAGAGTTGATTTTTTTTAAGTAAAAAAAAAAAAAAAAAAAAAATTCTAGTAATCTCTAATAATTAAAACACAGTAGACTGGCCCAGGGTGGACAGGCAGGGCGCCTGGACGGGGAGGGGGGGTGGCAGACAGGCAGGTTGCCTGGACGGGGAGGGCGATGCAGGCCTTTCCGGCTGGGGCTGGGACAGCGAGCCTTTTATCTGCACGAAAGTCTAGGTGTGTTGATGAGCTGAAAGGGAGGTTTTAAGTCAAGCTGTAATGCTTCCGGAAAAAAATACATAGAATACGTATTTTCTGACCTGTGTTCAGGGAAGACTGCTTAATTAAGAAACACCAAAACCAATCCAGAAAGGAGAGCCTGGGAAATTGAACCACATATAATTAAAGTTTAGTAAGAGGAGGAAGTGATACAGACAGGAACGGATACTGGCACCACAAGTAACTGACAAGGAGCTTATATCCAAATTATATGGGGACGAAGAAATTGTATGGGGATGAAGCCGGCGGGACAGACACAGTGGACGCGGGTCAGAGGGCCGGGTCAGGACTTCCCAAAAGGAGGGACCAAGCAGGCAGGGATGGACACTGCTCGGCCTCACTGGCCGTCAGAGCAGCCTGACCGCACAAGCCAGCACCTCAGGACGCGGGGAGTTTCTGGAAGGCAGGGCCTCTCTGATCCTCAGTGTCAGATGGGGGCAGGGGCTAGACCCGCTGTCTCAGAGCCGTGTGGACAGTGTGGAGTCCTGAACGGCCAAACACAGATGGCAAGTAACAGAGAAGGGTGAGGACGGGGTTGGGCTTCAGTAGCAGACAGGCAGGGACCTGCCCCGACACCTGCCGCTCCCAGGGGTCTGCAGAAGCCAGGCGTTCTGCCTGCCAGCTGTGGGAGGACAGACACATACTTCCAGTCCCCGCCCCCCTCCCTTCTTCTGGCCCCAAGTGTGAGCTTCTCACTTCCAGGTTCTGTCCACGTCGGGCCAGCGGGGAGGCCAACCCAGGCACCCACCAGCCTTCGGTCGGCCGGGTCACTCTGCGGGGCTGAGCCTTCCTTTGGCCCTGCCCCCACAGGCTTCACCTCACCTCCTCTGTCCTGCAGAGAGGGGCTCCTCTGCTTCCTAAAGCCCAAAGTCAGTTCTCCAGCAAAAATAAAGCTCCCCCCACCTCCACAAAACCCTGATAAAATAAGTAACCTCTGGCAAGTACCAGCAAGAAAAAGAAAACGGTCATACGCAAAAGATCAGAGATGTAAGGTGGACACAGAATGGCAGAGAGAGACCAGTATGTGTCACTTCTTCCTCAAACTCGAAAACCTGGAAGAAAGGGCACCCTTCCCGGGAACCGTGAGCGGAGGCTGCCAACGGAGCAACTAGGGAGAGGGCCGGGCAAGCAGGGAGGGAAGCAGGGGCCGCCCAGGCTGGGCCCAGACGCTGTCCCCTGGACACCCACCAGGAACAGGCAATTTCCATGGGGCTCCCTCCTTGTCAGGGAACGGAAACCACTAAAAAGCTCCCAGCTCACTCTGTGAAAATAAACCGACACCCAAATGGATAATAATTCCTGAAAATCACGCAAGTAGGAGCTACCCTCAAAAAGCAGGCACGCCTCAACACTTAGAAGGTATTATTCTGATTCACTGCGTCAACAGCTTCAATGACAAAAAACACAGAATCCTCCCAAAAGAGGCTGCAAGAGCATTTGATGAAACTCAAAACCCCTTCCTGAATATAATTCTTACCATAGTAAAAACATAGTAGAAACAGGATGCCCTTACCCGACCAGCCCGCGAGCCCCTCACGGGGTGAGCGCCAACACACGTCTCTGCTCGGTCAGGGTTGTGCCCAAGAACCAGCTGTCAGACGTGACAGACACGTCCCAGTTCAGCACAGGTGGACAGAGACCAGAGCCCTCCCACCACCCACAGCAATCAGAAGGCGAAGCCACATGCCGTCGGTACAGCCACGAACACTAGAGAGGACCACGACGTCACCTGCCATGAAATGTCCAACACCTACATAATTACACAAGATTATAAAGAAAGAAACTTCGTGCCCCCGAAAGAGCGCAAACTAGACCTGAAACCATGGCAACACAGCCCCGAGCCGCTGTGTGCTGCTGCAGACGAGGAGGCCGCTTCTCCCCGGATTCATTCGTGCACTTGCGCAGCCCAGCACATACGGCTCATGCAGAAGAGGAAGTGCTGAAGAATTCACCAAGGAAACTTAGAGAAAAGAGTATCGGGAACCTACGTTATTGAACAATTTTAAATTACTATCAGTGAGGAGGTGGACAGACAGACGGACACTTCCTCTCCCACCTGTGGGATGGGCCCAAGCCAGGCAGGACACTTCAGGTCTGCGGGGCACTGGTCACCGCGTGTCTGTACACGGCATCATGGGAAAACAAATCTGGGACGGACTAGGGTCTGAGTGTGAAAAGCTACAAGAGCGTGGGGAAGGGAGGGGTGCTTGGATACTTTGATCATCTGAGCAGAAACACCTCCCAGAGCCAGAACCCAAATCCAGACGCCATGGAGGGAAAGACCCCTGGAGGGAGCGACAGGAAAGCTCACCACAGGTGGTGGAGCACGGCACAAACCAAACTACCACGTGCCACCAAATGGGGACTGTGTCACATAAGCAGCAGACACGGGGGTACCAGCCACGCACACAGAAAGCTCCCGTAAATGACAACACACACAACACAGGCAAGGACCGCGAACATCAAGTATGAGAGGAGACGTGGGGACGCTCCCTGCATCCACGAGTTCAACGTAAACACAGCCGAGATGCCGTCTTTGATCCGTCAGACTTGCGAGGGCCAGTAAGTCTGCGAGCAGCGCTGATGAAGGAGCAGCGAGCCGGGTGCCCTCACGCAACGCTGGTGGGAACGCAGCGGTCAAGGAAAGCAATTTAACGGAATCTGTCACAATTTAAAACGTGCCTTTGACCCAGCAATTCAATCGGGAGAAATCTCGCAAAGGCGGACAGCACAAACGCAGAAGGATGTGTGTGCGAGAAAAAACGGCACACCCGAGCCCCGCCCACTGGCCAGGGACCAGGTGTCTGAATGGTGGCACACCCCCATGTGGGCATGAGAAAGCACGGGCAGACAGGCTCGGTCAAGCAGAAAGGCAGACTTTAGGCCAAGGGATGGGCCGGGACCCTGGCCCAAGTGTGTGACGGTGGCGAGGGCACCCGCGAGGGGACTGTGGTGTGGACTCACCTGCTCCACGTGGGGCTCCTTGGCGAAGGAGATCCTGGCGACGGAGTGGGACGTGATGCATAGCTCCTGCCCGTTCACCTCGCCCTCCTCCACCTCCACGATGCCTGTGGGACCGCCAGTCCTCAGTGTCCCGCCCGCGGCTTCCTACGCCGCTGCTCCCACCACCGGCCTTTGCACCCCAGGCTTCAACAGGTCTGAACTTTGAAGCCATCGAGGCGACGACCTGTCCCCCTGGCCAGCACAGAGACTCCCAGGCGTCGAGGGGGAAAGACTCACGGGTCCTCTTATAGCCAGGGCGGGGGGGGGGGGGGGGGGCGGGGGAGGGTCATTCTCTCCGGGGGTGCCCTGACCCTGGCCCTGCCCTCGGCCCCATGAAAAAGGCCAGGAGGCATCCCCCTCCCGGCCGTTCGCTGCCCCCCCGACCTCCAGCTCACTACTGCCTTGGGCAGGCCCACCCCAAGTCGGGCTGGTTCTGACTGTCCACCTGCTTCTAGGAAGTGAGCCCCACTTGGACCAGTGAGCAAGGTTAAAGGTCAAGCAGGTGTGATTTGAGTAATTTCCAATTAATCAACCCTGTGAGCTATCTTAGGGTGGCCTGGCACTGGGGGCGGTGCGGACTTCCAGAGAACCTCAGGCCCCATGTGGGCCTCCAGGTCTGGTTCCCTCCACGCAGCCCCAGCCTACAGGCAACACCCGTGTGCAGCTCAGGGCAAAAGGGGACCCGCAGCCCCTGCCACCAGCTCCCTCCCGCCAGCCCCACTGGGCCCGTCCGAAGGCCTGATGCTTCCCAGAGGTCACTTGCAGAGTGGCAGGCGGGACGCAGATGCCACCTCTGGCGCTGGCCACCCCTCTACTGGCATGCGGGCAGGGGGCGGGCCGTCCAGGGACAGTACCTGTGTTCTGGGCGCTGACGAAGGCCACCTTGTTGGTGTCGGGCTTGAGGCGGATGAAGCCACACTCCCTGTGCATGGGCTTGTGCGTGTCCGGGTGGAAGGCGTTGAACCTAGCGGGCAGGAGGGTGAAGGCCCAGGTAGCGGATACCCCCGAGACAGGGCCAGGCTGCGTGCACGTGCCCGTCTCACTGTACGAAGCCCCCACCCACCAAATGTAAAATAAACAGCTTCTTGTTCATGTGGAAAATGCAGAGACACATAAAAGACACGGCCCAAGAGACACGAGAGACCACGTGTGTGGCCCGGCTGCCAGGTACGTCAGGACTTTCTGTCTCCAACCCAGAAGCCGCTCCTCCAGGTGCCACCCGCCCTCGCTCTCGTCTGTGTCCCCATCTTCCTGACCGTCACGACTGACAGTGACCTTGATGACAGAAACTCGGTCTCCATAGTTTAGGCACACGCCTCCTGCAAGGCCCCTCTGTGCTTTTCGGTCCCACGCACCCCACGAGCACAGTCAAATCCCACCCTCACCCGAGGCTTTGCCTCTTGGGAGCTATTATCGTGCTCGGGGGTCCCACCAACCCCCACGTAAGACACAGCAGGCACGAAGTCAGGGTGCTGACAGAGGACCTCAAAGGCCGTGCGCTTGGCTGTGTGGTACGAATCTGAGAACCACAATACTAACCGCTTCTCTGAGACCTCACACGGCTCAGCTCAGGGGGGAATTCTGGGAAAGGCATGTTTGTCATCTTATTCTCAGTGACACGGGGGTGGCTGGTCTCCATACAGGACCGCGGCAGGCACGGGGAACTTAACTGAGTGCCGGCACCACTGATGGTGTGTTTGCATCAACACGCCCGAGGCTTTGTGGTCGGCCGCGCGTCTTCGGAAACATGACCACCAGAAAGCACCTCGTTACCCACTGTGCGACCAGATTCGGGGCAGGGAGAGGGCGCGTCTCCGAAATACAACCAAGTTCCTTTGTGTCTTCCCACCCGGCACCCGCCGCTCCGTCCCCAGTCCGGACCTGCTCTTGCACGCGGTCGGGGGCACACTTACGAGAAGTTCAGCACGGGCTGGCCCACGTGGGAGATGTACACCTCCTCCAGGTACCGGAAGGGCTGCAGCGTCGGGAAGGTGCCGGCTCCCGGCGGGTCGGACAGCCAGGTGCCCAGCATCCAGGACAGCGGCTCCACCACTGGGTTCATCGTGGGGGGCTCTGAGGACAGAGGGAAGAGGCGGTCAGTGGGCTCCGTGTCCACGCTCGGTGAGGGAGCACGCCCTTGTGCAGACAGCAGAGCTGGTGCCTCCATGAACGTGCACCAGCCGGCCGTCGAGCCGGGGACAGACAGCAAATGTCATCTTGTCAGACGCAGCTCCCACACGGGGGAGACAGCAAGAGGGCCTGGGGGTGGGCGGGGCTGAGGCCAAGTCCAAGGAAGACAGGACCCGCGGAAGAGGGCTGCCCTGCGCCAGGCTGGCGGCAAGAAGTGGGAGCAGTTGTGGGTGGAAAACGGCGGGTCGCCCCTCCACCGTGGGAGCCCACCGGGACAGACACAGGTGGCCGGGGAGGGGTGGGGCTGCTCCTTCCCCCAGCTGGCCGGCTCCTCCCGGCCTCTGCAGATGGCCTGTGGACAGCTGGGAGTGAGCATGGCCATAAGACTTTCGTAGTTAGACGACAAGAGAAAAGTGAAGTTGGGACTTCGGCTACCACCTATGGTGGAGACCAGGAATAAAAGCTTCACAGTCAAAGGTCTGGAGCAGGACAGAGCAGACAAACACCCTGCTCACAGGGACACCGGTGTCCCACCGAGGGAAGAGAGCAGTCCAGCGAGAAATAAGAAAAGGATGCTGAATGTGTGGCGAAAGAGGCGACAAGCCGAAAGGGGGTGGGGCCGTGTGGCATTTGAGCTTGAAACTTCGAGGGCGGAGGACGGCTCCCTGAGACGCGTGCAGAGGCCGCGGTGGGAGTGGGCCTGTGGCCGCTCCGGGACACGGAGGCTTCCCCAGGGCCAGCCGGGCCAGATCCTGGAGGACCCTGGGGAGGGCTGAGTGGGAGACGCGGGGGCAGCACGTGCCTGGTGGCGGAAGAGGGCGGCCTGGGCCCCGTGTCGTCGGTGGAAAGGGCCAGATCCCAGGGGTGCCCTGCAGGGAGAGCCAGCTGCACGCACGGATGTCTGGGATGCAGGGCTGGCGAGCGGCGCCCGAGGTTCAAGGCCTCAGGGAGACAAGGGGAGAGCAAAGCTCGGATGGTTTGGGCCTGCGGTTCTCAGAATAAACAGAAATCACTGTTTTTCAGCCAGCCAGCTAGCCAGCCAGCCAGCCAGCCACAGCCTCTGAGATGCTCTCTGTCCAGCGGACCCTGTGTCGCGTCCAGGGCGGCACTTGGAGCCGCTGTCCAGGCCCCACCTGCTGGTCCAGTCCCCTCTGAGTGAGAGCAGTGCCCGCCTGGGCTGGTGAGCGTGGCCCTTCCCCTGGGCACATAGCCTAGGGTGGCGGTGGTGGAACTGCAGCCAGGCCCCGTGGGCCTGGGATGAGGGGGAGGGAGACAGACAGGGAAGGACCCAGAGACGGAGGGAGACAGACGGACAGACAGAGAGACAGAGAAGGACCCAGAGACAGGGGAAGGACAGACGGACAGACAGAGAGACAGACCGGGAAGGACCCAGAGACGGAGGGAGACAGACGGACACAGAGAGACAAACATGGAAGGACCCAGAGATGGGGGAAGACAGGACAGAGACAGACCGGGAAGGACCCAGAGACCGGGGGGAGACAGACAGACAGACAGACACAGACATAGAGACAGACAGGGAAGGACCCAGAGATGGAGGGAGACAGATGGACAGAGAGACAGGGAAGGACCCAGAGATGGGGAAAGACAGACGGACAGACAGAGAGAGCTGGGTAATGCTCTTTCTTGCCTCAAAATCTCTCTGGGGATCTCTCTGAGGGAACAGGGTTGGTAGGTGAGCATTATCACCTCTTTCAGAAAGGAATAAAAAACGACAACAGAGATAATTGAAAACCCTTCCCCTGGCCTTGGCTCTCAGGGAAGTCAGGTCACAGACACAACCCACGGCCACCAAAATGTGCAGGAGGGCTGTGTGGGGGCTGGGGTGGCCCTGGGACCCTGCCCGTGTTCACAAGCAGCAGGAAAGGAGCCGGGCCCCTGGCAGGTGCCACTGACCTTCAGGGACACAGGACCCCCTGCCCCCCGCTTCATAAGCACCCTGCATTCCCATCAGACTGTGCCAACTGCGGGAGCCTGAGAGTGGACGTGGGGCCTAGAGCCCGAAGACTGAAGGAGCACTGACCCCCACCAGGGCCCAGAGGAGGCCGTCAGTGTAGGCCCTGCACACAAGTCTGCACGCACGGGTCTGTACCCAGTCTGCGCACACGGCTCTGTGCCCACGGGTCTGCGCACATGGGTCTGTACACACGGCTCTGCGTGCCCACTCTGCACACGGCTCTGTGCACGGTGAAGCAACCACCTCCAGGAAGAAATGCAAGAATGTGGGAGAGAAGCGGCCGGAGAGGTGAAACTCCAGCAGAAAGAAGTCGGGAGAGATGCATCAAGAAGCTGGGAGTGGAGGTGGATGAGGACAGCATGGGACTCATGGCAGACACGCGCTACAGAGGACAATGAGAAGAGTAAAACGAAAACAAAGTCAAGAGGTCTGGAGACTTGGGCTGGGGGTGTGTGCAACGTGCAGCCTGTGCAAAGACAGGTGGGGGGAGAGGGTGGGGGAGGGGGGAGAGACTATGGCGGGGGAAGGGGGAGGGGGAGGGGGAAGGGGGGACCTGGGCCAGGCGCGAGTCCCACGGCTGGGTGTCCTCCTGTGAGAGGACGACACGCGTCCACGTGGCTGCTGTTCACAGCTGCTGGATGCGGAAACCTCCCAGCGGCTTCCGGCTGACGAGTGGGTGAGCACGACGTGGCACAGCCAGACGGAGGAACAGTATCCGTCATAAAAAGGAATGAAGAGGGCACCTGGGGGCTCAGTCTGTTAAGCATCTGACTCTTGATTTCAGCTCAGGTCACGATCTCGTGATTCGTGGGACAGAGCCCCACGTCAGGCTCTGCAGTGACAGCACAGGGCCTGCTTGGGAATCAATCAACCAATCACACCCTCTCTCTCTCTCTCTCTCTCTCCCTCCCTCCCTCCATCCCTCCCTTTGCCCCCTCCTGCACCTGCGTGCTCTCTCTCTCATAAATAAACTTAAAAGGACTGAAGCACTGACAAATGCTACCACGTGGATGAACCAAGAAAAAGACCACGCACCCTGATTCCACTCATATGAAACGTAACAGGCGAGCCTGCAGAGGCCCAGAGCGGACCAACGGTTCCTCCACAGCAGCGTCCGGCAGATGCTGGTGCCACACTTACAAGATGCACGGGGAGAGTGAGCGTCACGGATTTTGTAGCTGCCACAGGTGTGTCTGACACAGCCGCCCACGGCCCCACGTGGACATCTGGAGGCGCTGGTCCACTGAGATGTGCTTTAAGGCTAAGACACACATGGATTCCAAAAACTCAGCACAAAAAGGACTTCAGACATCTCAGTAACTTTTAGGTTTCGATGGTTATGTACTGAAATAACGTTTCAGATAACATTGGGTTAAATAAAATACAGCATTAAAGTTCACTTCACCTGTTTCTCTTTACCTTTTGATTTTTAAGCAGGTTCCAGGCCAAACGTGGGACTTGAACTCCCAACCCTGAGATCAAGAGTCGTACGCTCACTGGCTGAGCCAGCCAGGCGGCCCTCTCTTTACCTTCTCAGTGTCGCTACAGGACAATTTCAAACCATGTCCGAGCTCACGCTGTGCTCCTGTTGGACGGCGCCGTGATGGATGGTCTCTACACTAACACTCAGGGATCTCTGATACAGCGAATTCTGAGGACACCACCAAAGGACAGCCTTCGCCAGGCAGCCACAGGGAAGTGACGGCAAAGGGATTCCCAGAAAGTCATGGAAGCGTTCCCCAGGAGAACTGGTCCCAGGCAGTGGCCGCCCTGACCATGCCCGAGGTCTACCCCCAAGTGGCGACGTCACGGAGGCAGGCAAGCCAAGCACAGACCAAGTGGGGAAGGTTTTATTCTAAAAACATACGCCAAGGTACAATATAAAAAATAAGGCAGAGCTAAAGCCACACGTACCGGAACTCACCTATGAAAAGGAAAAGCTTTTCACACTGGATCACAGAGCAAGACCTTCAACTCTTGCTGCAAAGGAGAGATTCACCAGACAGAATCACTCAGAAAAGCATTTCAGAGCCAGGCAAAGGCAGGCCCAAGGGAAAGCTAGCATCGTGCTCCCGTGGTGAGGGAACATGAACTTCCACCCAAGACGCGTTAGAACAGACAGAGCACGGCTCTCCAGAGCGCTCAGGGTCCCGGTCCCGGCGAAGACCCCGCGGTCAGGAAGATGCAGACGACCAGCGGCAGCCATGACAAAGCAGAAACTACTGACGACACACAGATGCTCACAGGAAGAAACCAGCAGGAACCGTGGTTCGCGTGGGTCCGAGAGAACAGCGTGGCACAGAGGGCTCGCTCCACACGACTAGAGAGCTAGTTCTGAGCGCGCGACGCTGTGCTCCGCGCCCGAGACTGCAGAATCTCCTCTCCAAGCCTCACGAAAACTGACCTCGTAAATGGTCAGAAAGTAAAGAGAGTCCCCACCATGTCGTCCGACCACAGTGCAGCAAGGCTATGAAAACATGATCAGATTTCCCTCAAAAATGTCATGCCACAAAAGAGACCATGTACATAATCTGCGTTTCTATCTGCATGAAATTCTAGAATAGGTAAACGGGTGTGGGGTGGGGGCTGGGGCAGGAGGGCGTGGAGATCCGGGGACTCTGGATGATGGCGTCACATAGGAGTCACGGAGGGACACCCAAGGGCTGTTTTACTTATATTAACTGTACCTCAGTGAAAACATTCAGTTGTGAAACTTCCACAAAGCAAACAAACATGAAAAGAAAAAACAACCCGAGCCTGGGAACGCCTTCCCAGGACCTGTTTACTGTCACCACAGCACAGGTTCATGAGTGGCCAGGTGACTCCAACCTCAGCTGGCACTTCAGGGGGCAGCCTAGCCTCCCAGGGCCTCTGGTCTGTGCTGGCCGACTGCTGCCCACAGGGAGACAGCCTTCTCTTGCAGATTGTTTTGGTGTTTTAAGAAAATCTAGAACTACTGACCTGGGGG